TGGAGAATGGATTATGGCCTGGGGTGAAAAATAAGGTTCCAATGAATGAATATTCTGTATACTCTTCTTTCGTGCCACTCTCAGCAATTAGGCCCTTCATGTTGTTGAATCTTTGAGTCCTCTGTGTTTCTATGTGTATAGCATTACTTGGACATTGACAATTGGGGTCATTTTGAACGGACTGGATTTTGGTTCACTCTATGAATCTCTTGTAATTCTGTATCTCTAGGTGTGTGCTAGGTTAGGTGACCCAGGCATAGTAGTGCACACCTGTAGAAGACTATGGCCAGAGGACTGCGAAATTCCAGTTCAGCTTGGACAATTTGGTGACAGTGAGACTGTCTCAAAACCAAAAAAAAGAAAAACCAAAAAAAAAAAAATCTCAGAGTTCAAGCTCCAGTACCACACATACGTACACACATGAAATTTAAAGTGACTAAGTAGGATATCATAAACCTTTTATTAATCTTTGGTTAAAAACATATAGATCACAAAGTTTGTATTCTTCTCCCTTCCAGTTTTCTTAATGGGGTCTACCTAGATTGCTCAGGCTACTTTTGAACTTGTGGGCCCAAGCAATCCTCCTGATCCTCTTGCCTCAGCACTGTGCTGGAGTTACAGGTGCATGTCACTATACCTAGTCCTCTCCAGTTTACAAACAAATTATATATATTTGAAATATACAAATATCTCATGATGATCTAAGTATACTCTGAAAAGATCAGTACAATTAAGCTAATGAACAAATCTATTACTTCATGTACTTTTTTTGGTGAAAATACTATATTCTTTACAAATTTCAATATTCATTATAGCCACCATGCTGTACATTAGATCTACAGATGTATTCATCTGTGTTTTTTTTTTCTTCTTCTTGATTTGTTTTTGAGGGTTCCAATATGTAGTTCAGGCTGGCCTTAAATTCACTATGTAGTCTACATTGGCCCCCAAATCAAGGTGACTCTCTTGCCTCAGCTTCCCAGAATGGAGCAATTCCAGGACTGTGCCACTGTGCCTGGCTGTATTTATCTATCTTATAAATGAAAGTCTGTACCCTTTGATCACCGTTTTCCCATTCCTCCTCCTTCCTCCATTCCTAGCTCTGGGTAACCACTAGTCTCTGATTTTATGAGCTTGACTCTTTTTGATTCCACAAGCAAGTGATGTCATATAGTATTTATGTTTCTGTGTTTGGCTTATAATACATAGTGTAAAAATTGCCAGGTTCATCCATGTTGTTACAACTGGCAGGGTCTCCTTCTTTTTGCTTTTCAGACAGGGTCTCACTATGTAATTCAGGCTGGCCATGTACAAACTGCCCTCAAACTCATGGTCAATCTCCTGCTGTGGCTTCCTAAGTAATGGGATTATAGCCCTGTGCCACTATGCCTAGCCTCCTCCTTTTTATGGCTAAATAATATGAGTTTAGTATCCAGAATAAATGTTAACATGCTATTGTCTTTTACAAAGCAATATTTATTACATTGGAGTTTCACAGAGATAAAAGTGTTGAGCTGCTGCAGTGATGGAGGAAATGGAGAGCAGGAACTGAATTTAAAAGACTTTTAAATGTTGGAAACGACAGAACTTTGTGTGACCAGGTATATATGGAAAATAGATGCGCAAAAGCAATTGAGGGCACTGTAGGTTTGAAGCCTGAGGTACTTAACAGCATGGTGGTGGCATTGGGCATTTAAGGAAATGCAGTAGCAGCCTGGGAGTAGGGTGAGGAGACAGATTTGCATTTGGAAGTTTGCATTTGGAAAATGAATTTCAAAGGTTTATGGGAAGTTCTGCCCAGCATTCATTCATTTGTACTGGTGACTGAACTCAGGGAAATACTCTGTTACTGGGCTACATCGACATCCCTTTGTTAACAGTGATTGATGGGAGCTGGGGATATAGCTCAATGGCACAAGCACCCTCTTGCAAGCAAGAGGATGTGAGTTCAATCCCTGGTACCAAAACAAACAAATAAATAACAAACAAACCAAAGCCACTTCCCACCCAACAAAAACAGTGACTGATGAAGCCAGGAGAGGAAAAGAAACTACTGGAAGGAAACTGGGGAAGAAGTGACCAGCGCAGCTCCAACGAAACAGGAGACAGGAGACGCTCTTATGGACAACAGTTAACTGCTAGTTTATTTACGGGGGCTGTGGTTTATATATTTGGCCGTGACCAATCACATGCTGCCACAAGGAAGCAGGGCGGGAATGGGATGCAGGCTCTGGATACTATATCCAGCTGTGGCCAATCAGGAGTTGCCACAGAGTACGGAGTAGAGCGCGGGGTGCGCACGGGTTGGCTAATTTAAAGAGGGACGTAGCGCATTGCGGAAGCTAGCGTGGTCCTTAGTCCCGGGTGGGGTATGGTATGTTGAGCGCCTGCGCCCAACAAAGAAGGGCTCATTTTAAACATTGCTATATAATTGAAAGGGAGAGTGAGTTTTGAGGGTTTTACTGTGTCCTTGAAATGCAGGCACAGGTACCTCTTTATCCTGTAAACCTGTTCATGTCACCATTATTTTACTAAAGTAATGTCTGTAGTTCAACATTTTAACATTAAGGAAAAACACAAACCTTGAAATGAGGGCAGAGGTAATATAAAGTGTCCCAACAAATGGGCAATAGTCACTAAGAAGTCTAAAAAAGATCTGCAGTATAAGAATGTTAGTGTGCTTCTAGCACTGTCTAGGGGAGAAACAGAATAGTGGAGGAAAAAATGTTTCAAGAACATGCTGTGTTGGTTGTGTGTGGTGGTGCATGCCTGTAATCCTAGTATTTGGGAGGCACAGGCAGAAGGATTACTGCCTGAGCTACATTGTGAGTTCAGGGCCAGCATGAATTACACAGTGAAACCCTGTCTCAAAAAACAAAACACCAAACAAAAAAACAAACCAAACAAAAAAACCAAACCAAACCAAACCATTGTATTGGACAGAGCATAAGATGCTAGTTTAAATGCAAACTTTACCACTATAAGCCTCATTTATAGATTGCCTCCTCTTCACTAGGGTCTGTGATAGGTGCTTTAAATACTTTAATCTCAGAATCATTATGCCAACACAAAGACCAAGAATATGCTTGTCTCCAATTTGCAGTTAAAGGAACTGAAGATGTAAAAGTTCAAACCTCTGTTGGCACCATTTCCATAAAGGAAATGAAAGATCTACAATTTTACCCAGATCTGTGTGACTTCCAGGTGCTTTCGAATACAGCCAGTAGATTTCAAATCTAATAGTCCATCAGATTTTCCAGAGAACATACTAAAAAACACATTTTTTCCAGACTCCCACTCAAGACTAACTCAGATATTAATATTAGCATAGTACAGTCCTTTTCTTTCAAGGTTAGGATTAAAAGTAATGCAGAATATTAAAATGTTTTATAAATGTCAAGTTTAACAGATATATTTATAATGTTATTACATATACATATCTTATTAATTTTATTTTCTAGTCAAGAAACAATTTTCTGATAACTAGGTTTATGAGGTACACAGCAACCAGAAGCCTAATCTGTAGTTTGGTAGCATCAGATTTTTGACTTGATATCATTATACTAAATTAGTATCTTTAATTTCTAGTATATAGTTAAGAGCTCCTGGGCCCAGGGGCTTAGCTCAGTGGCACGAGCACCTGCCTGACAAGCCCAAGGTCGTGAGTTCAATCCCTAGTATATATCTAAAAAACACGTCATCATCCACAATTGCAAAAAGCAGAAATAAAACAAGAGGTAAAGAGCTCCTATGTATCTGAGGAGGGCTAGTCAAATTCCTCAAGCTTGATCATCTTTTTAAGAACTGATAGAAGTTTGACACCAACAAAACAGAGCAATGGAATTCATAAGGTATTGTTTTAAGTAGAAGATTCATTGAATTAAGATTAGGTTTGGGCCTGGGGGGATGCTTGAGAATAAAAAATTAATTTATGTTATGACACGAAACTATCTTTTCTGTCTTAGCAGATAGTGTTTTTCCCAGTTCCACTACACTATAACTGGTATTAAGTAGAACAAGCAACTGTGATAGGGACGTGACCTTGGATTTTTTAAAAGCCTCCGTTCCTCTCCCTGCTCTTTTGTTCTTAAAAAAATGTAGCTATTATTTCTGCTGTCAGATGGGGTAAGTTGGCGCTTGGGGTAAGTTGTAAGTTCGTATTTTTACACTGACCATAACAGGCTGCTTAGTTTATTTGTGGGTAGACACCTTTGGTAATCTTCATCTACCGTCACCCAGTCACTCCACAGAGAAAGGTTAAGCGATTCCCCAAGATCACACAGATCTAGTGATTGGGGAGGAGGGACCAAAAGCGCCGGCTCTACCGTCACACTCCCATAGTTGCCCAAATGGTCTCATTTGGAGCCCAGGGGTCCGCAACACAAGGGAACTCTGGAGGAACGCCCAAGAGGTGCGAGCCAGGAGCTGGGGAGAGGTGGCTTTCCCAGCATGCTCTGCAGCGCACCGAGGGGCACCAGACGCATCCCAGCGTGCACCGGGGAGCGCCCAAGGGCGACGGCTCACGGCTTCTGGTCGGGCCCGCGAAGTTAAACCAGTAGGTGCGAGCTTACTTAGTTTCGGAACCCTGCTTCTTGTTTCCCCTTCAAGGATATAAACCCATGAAATCAGGAGAGGAGGACCTCCGACTGTTCTCCCTCTCCGCGTGCTAACCACTCAGGTCGCCGCTTCGAGCGCGGTGCCAGGTGATTAGCGAGGAGGGGCGGGCCGCGAGCGGCACGTGACCAGGCCTGACAGCCAATCACCAGCCCAGTGGCCAGGCAGCGCGAGGATTCCTGACCCGCGAGCGGCGCGGCGCGTGGGCCGGCCATCGTCAGTCCTGGCAGGTACGCGCAGGCGCCTTTCTCGCCACGCGCTCCGTTCATCCCCGCGCGCCCGGTGGCGAGTCCTTGGCGCGAGGTGCTAAGAGGCTGTTGTGTGTGTTTCCTTGGGTAGGAGGATTGCGAGGGTGGGGGGGCTTAGGTCACGTGCTTGCTCTAGCCAATCGCAGACCGAGGCACTCCAATTGCTTTCCCCAGCTCTCCGGGGTGCGACGTGTTTGGAGAGGTTCGGCCCAGCCCTACCGGTCTCTGCGCTCTTTCGAAGCGCGTGTTGCAGCCTGGAAAACCTGGCCACTGCATTTCGTGGTGTGCCCCTCCGCCGTTTGCGCGGGCGACAAGTCTCGGCAAAATGGCTGCTGGAAAGAGTCGCCTGCCGGGGCAGCGCCGGGTCCGCGTGAAGGTCACATGACGAGGTTGGCAGCGCGTGCTGCTGGCGCGGGGAAGGAGCCGGGGGAGGGAGGGGCATGGCGAGTCACGTGTCTTCGATATAACGGCCGGGGGCTGGTCTTGTGGCCGGGGGCCATATGGTCTGCTTTTACCCCTCCCACGTGGAAGCGTAGCGAGCGTCGCCAGAAACTGCGTGACGTGGCGCGACGAGCTGTGGTCTCGGAGTTGAAAGACCTGTGCTCCAGGCGTTTGGCTAGTTTTGTAATGTTTCAGGTCTGTTAGGGGCATTCTTTTTAAATTGAGCAACTGCTAGTATCTAATCCCAGGTAACTACCAAAGCTAAGGTGGGCTGGGGTTGTAAGTCAGTGGTGGAGTGCTTTTTTAGAATATCGGAGGCCTTGGGTTCAATCCTAGACAGCAAATGATTAACAGTTATGAGACTCCACATAACTTCTCCACACCCCCCGCAAAAAAAGAAAGTCACTATCACCCAACCATTACAGTGATGTGATCTTTCCACCTCTGCCTCCTGAGTAGTTGGGTCCCAGCTTAAGTGCTATATATTTCTTAATCCTTTAGTTCTCATACTGAACCAGTGAGGTAAGGCTATTGCACCCGTTTTTACCACAGTAAAATACCTATTAAGTAAGGGACCCAACAATAATATATTTGGTAATTTTGTATGATCTTAGCCCTTTTAAAAAATGTTTCTTTTTAAAAAATTTTAGATAGGGTCTTACCATGTAGCCCATGCTAGCTTTCAAACCTTGGCAGTCCTTCCTCAGCTTTCTAAATGCTGAAGTTATAGGCACATGCGACACATGCAGCTTTTCTTTTTGTTTTTAAAATTTTTATTTTTTAAAATTTATTTTTTTGAAATGAGGTCTATGTAGTTAAGGCAGGCTTATTTTTTTTGAGGCAGTTTCACTCTGCAATTCAAGCAGGCCTTAAACTCACTTTGTACCCAGGCTGGCCTTGAATTCAAAGGAGTCCAACTTCTGCCTCCCAAGTGCTAAATTTTTATTTTCATTAATACATGTTTGCAGTACAGAAAGATTACATGCATTGTGGAGAGTTAGTTCATGTGCATAATACATCTTAATTCTTTTTATGGCTTCTCCTTTCTAGACTTTCTTTTAAAAACTTGACAAAAATTATAAAATTTGTTTGGATGGATGCATTTTTTTTTTTTTTTTTTTTTTTGCCTTTTTCCTTTTTACTGGCATCGAGGATCGAACTCACGACTGCCTGCTTGCAAGGCAGGCGCTTATGCCGCTGAGCTAAATCCCCAGCCCTGGATGGATGCATTTGTATAGAAGGAAATTTCTTTTGTCTTTATTTTTGAGACAGGGGCTTGCTATATAGTTTAGGCTGGCCTTGATTTCACTGTGTAGCCTGTCTAGTGCTGGGATTTCAAGAAAGGGCTTACCTTATCTGGTGGAGTCTCACTGTGTGTAATTCAGGCTATTCTCAAACTTGTGATCCTCCTGTGTCAGCCTAAGTGCTGTGGTTTGGCATGTACCTTGTCTCAAAATATGAAATAAAGGTTTGGGAATGTAGTCCATTATGAAGGTCCTGGGTTCAATTCTTATCGTATGTCAATTAAAAAAATCTGTTCTTGGACTCAGCAATTTTTTCTGTTAAGGCCCTAGTTGGTAAGTTTGTTGAATTCCATGTTGTTTTTGAAGGACTTATTTTTGGTCGTTTTGAAACAGTCTTGTTATGTGAAACACTTTTTTAAAAATAATAACAAAAAACTGGAAAAAATTAGAGGAGATTCGTTAGGTAATTGTGGGACCTTTTCTTTTTTCTTTCTTTTTTTTGAGACAGGGTCTTGCTATGTGGTTTAGGCTGGTTTTGAACTCACTATGTATCCCAGACTGGTTTTGAATTTGGGATGATCCTCCTGCCTCAGCTTCCTGAGTGCTGGGATTACAGGCATGTGCCTCCATGCCCAGTTAAATGTGGGACCTTTATGAAGAGGAGTACCTTTTGGCTAGTGAACATAATATAGATTTCTCAATGCCTTGGAAAACGTTATATATATAATATATATAAATAAAAGATTACAAAGCTATGTGTAATATTTTTGTAGGAATATATTTGTATGTCCTTTACATAGAAATCTAAAAAGATGAAATAAATGTAAATAGTGTTTTTGAGTGTAGGATTTTGGATAAACTATTATTTTTTTTAAACTTTTTTTTGGTCTGTATGTTTTATTTCTTTTTTATTTATTTATTTTTGGTACTGGGGATCAAATTTACAACCTCATGCTTGCCAGGCAAGTGTTTATGCCATTGAGCTAAATCTCCGGCTATTTTTTTGGTTTAGTTACAAACCTATAGAAAAATTTCTAAGATATTACTGATAAGGAGGATCTCAGCATTGGGAGACTGAAGCAGTAGCATTGAATGTTTGAGCCCAGCCTGACGCTTTGTCTTAAAAGCAAAAGTTTAAAATGGTGAGGTGGTATGTGCCTGTAATCCCAGAGTTCTGGAAGGCTAAAGAAGATCCGAAATTCCAGCCTATTCTGGACAATTTACGGAGATGCTGTCTCAAAAGAAAAAAATGGACTGGGGGTGCAGTTCAGTGTAAAGGCCTTGGTTTAATCTCCAATACTGGAAAAAAAAATACAGAACGTTTCCATGCCCAGGACCCAGTTAGATCTTGTACCAATATCTTTTGTTAGTATGGCATCTTTATTATAATTAGTGAAGTTAATGGCAGTTATTTACTATAATAATGAAGGGAAATTATTAATACAGTATTTTTATTTTTTTTTTGCAGTGTTGGGAGTAGAACTGAAGACTTCTACCATTTAACTAACTCCCTACCCCTATACACTTTCTTTTTTTCTTCTTTTTTGTCTTTTTCCTTTTTATTGGTACGGGGATCGAACTCACATCTGCCTGCTTGCAAGGCAGGTGCTTATGCCACTGAGCTAAATCCCCAGCCCCTCTTTTTGATTTTTTGAAACAGGATTTTGCTATGTATTGCAGCCTGTTTTAACTCCATTATGTAGCATAGGCTGGCTTTGAACTCAGGTGATCTTCTGACTCAGCCACCCAGTGCTGGTATTACTTAGCCACCCATGCTGGTATACACCATCATGCTTGGCCTTAAAATTTTTTTTACAAAGATACCATTTATCTTTATTTTTTGAGTTTTATTTATTTATTATTTGTTTGTATTAGTACGTGTTTGTAGTATATAATGATTACATTCTCTGTAGGGAATTAATACATGTATATATTTTCCCTTCTTTCCTTCACCACCTTTTATTTTTCCACAGTCAGATCCATTTATATATAGGCCTTATGGGGTTAATTATGATATATACTGTAAACCTGGAATTTGTATTTTAGTAGGTACCCAATGAGTTAATAAATGGTATGATTTCAGGTATTGTTGAAGTGCTGTAAAGAAAATAGCACAAAGATAGCAGGATTAGTGGGTTTGGTGGTTAGATGAATTCCATCGATGGCTCTCTGATGCAACAGTTGAGCTGTGACCTCAATGATGAGTAAGCCGTGCCAGAATATGGAACATTTCAAGGAGTAAAAATGCTAATGCAAAGCTTTGTGAGGAGAATCAGTTTGGAATTCTGAAGCAGAGTGCCTGGGGTATTAAGTGATAGAGATGGTATGGTGTATTGTAGTAGGAAATGAGATTGGTAGATTGATAGGCTCAGATTGTATGGAGTCTTGTAGACCATAAAGATTCTAGATTTTGTTTCAATTGTGATATACTCCATTGAGCAGTATTATGAAGTAAATAGTACAGTGTAATTTGTTCATTTATTTATTGGTCTTTTTGAGACAGAGTTTCACTATTCAGTTAAGGCTGGCCTTGAATTTACTTTGTAGCCCTGGTTGGCCTCGAACTTGCAGTGATCCTCTTGCCTCAGCCTCCTGACTCTTGGGATTACAGGTATGCACCACCACACCTGGCTCTCATTTATGTTTAGAAAAAAATTTTTTTTAAAACAGATACATGTTTTTTCTATCCTTGCTGAGACAAAATATCCAGTGACAAAAGTCAAGGAGGAAAACGTTTATTTAATTTACAGTTTATAGATGTTTCAGTCCTTAATTGGCTGGATCTAATGTAAGCATTACAGAGGAGAAACTTTCAGGATGGGCAGAAGACAGCAAAGCAGTAAAGGAATGACCACAATCCTTTTCTATCCTTTATATTTTAACCAGGCTACTTTAAATGGGTAGTAATCACACCCTTAGTCTTAGTGTCCTTGATCCTAAACATTGCACCATAAACCCAGTTATAGCGTCACACACTAGCTCTAGCCACCTCTTAGAAATGACCAGTGACCAGATGAGGATTTGAGGGAGCATCTGTACACAAACCATAACAAAGATCTTGCTTTGTAGTCCAGGCTGGCCTTGAACTCACTGTGTGGCACAAGCTGGTCCCAAACTTGCAGCAACTTTCTTGCCTTAACTTCCTGAGTTCTGGGGTTATAAAACTATGCCATCACACCTGGCATTAATTTATGTTTTCAAAATACACTTCCCTGTAGAAGCAAGAGGTACAGAAAGAGACCATTTAAGAAGTTGTTGGAGTTGGATGTGGTATTATATGCCTGTAATCCTAGCTTTTTGGGAGGAAGAGCTTTTTGGGGTGCAAACTTGAACCCAGATTGGGAAGAAATTTGAGGTCTTGTCCCAAAACAAAATAAAACAAGCAAGGCTAGGAATATAGCTCAGTGCAAAGGCTTTGAGTTTACTCCCAGTACCACCAAAACCAAAAAAAAGTTGTTGAGATGGTTATGAGAAACTCTTTGACCAGGGAGGTAGTGAGATGCGGTTAGATTAGCTGTGGGAAGTGAAGGAGGAGAACCCAAGATACTTATACATTTTGAGGTAGAGCATCTGGTTCCATTTAACGGAGATGAAAGACTGGAAGGAGCTAATTTGGATGGAGAGTTTAGTTGGCTTTTTTGAGTTTTTGTGCCTTATGCTTGAATCCTAGCAGTAACTGTTACTTTTTTTTTGTCGTTTTCATT